TCCTTCGTCCCCCTAACCACCCCCTCCCGGGACCTCCCCCCGCCCCCTCGACCCACTCCCCCCCCTCCCCCGGGATCCCACCCCCTATCCAACCCCTCCTGCTCCCTGTCCCCTGACTTCCACCCCCCCCCCTCCTGACAGGCTCCCTGGGACTCCTACACCTATCAACCCCCCCCGATCCCCGTCTCCTGATCCCTATCCACACCCCCACCCTCTGACAGCCCCCCTGGGACTCCCACACTTATCCAACCCCCCCTGTTCCCCGGCCCCTGACCGCTCCCCCTCCTGTCCCCGAACCTTCGCCCCATCCAACAACCCCCTGCTCCCTGTCCCCTGACGGACCCCCCTGCCCCTTATCCAGCCCCCCGGCCCCCTTACCATGCCGCTCAGAGCAGCATGTCTGGCAGCTGTGCCGCCCGGCCGGAGCCAGACACGCTGCCGCGCTGCTTGGCAGGAGCGCGTGCAACCCCGCCGCCCAGAGCGCTGCCCGCGTGGCGGCGAAGCAGCAGGGGAGGGGCCGGGGGCTCAACGAGTGGGCAGGACGGTCCAGCCCGCGGGCTGTAGTTTGCCCACCTCTGCTGTAGTGGAACCTCGCTTGTGTGCAGTTTGAGCTGCACATTTTATAAGATGCACAAAAAAAGTGTGGTTTCTCCCACCTATCAGTGAAGATTCAATTGTAGTTGCTGTAGTGTGGCCTTAAATTCCAAAGATTTATTTATTTTTTACAAAATATGCCGTATTATATTTATTATATACTATGAAGTATTATAATAAACATTAAAACTAAACTAAGAATTGACAAAAATAAACGAAGTACATCCTGTGATTCATCTTGGTGTTGAATCATATGAATTCAATAATTTTTCATGGATCGCTCCGTCATTAATGTATAGTGAAGATTTTCTGCAATTACAGTTAGAATGCTAGTGAATTAATGTTTTCAGTAAAAGGGTGTGAGGTCATTCTGGAAATCGTCTTATATAGTTGAAAACAAATGGCAGAGAGCAGAAAAATGCTGAAAAGATCTGAACTTTGTTCTTTTATTTTTTTCCATATTATGTCCCTTTTAAAATATATTTTGGGATTTCTTTATTGCTTCATCTAATATGGTTATAAGACTTTAATCTGAATGTTTTCATAGTGTTTCTTAACATTATTTTTTTTTCCTGTTGGAGATGCAACATGATGTAAGATTTGATATGCTGGTTGGGTTTTTAATTTTTAGGGTGTTTTTTTTTTTTTTGCTTGTTCTTCAAATGACTTCAATAAGTGGCCCAGTATTAGAACAAACACAGGCATAGAAAATAGAGATGGAAAAGACCTGCTGGACAATTCTGTCCATTTCCCTCTGCTGTTTCGGAAAATATATATGTATCTCTCAAAAGTTACATGTGTAACACTAAACATCTTTAAGGTGGCCATCTAACTATAATTTAGATTTATTTAACCAGTGGGTACTCGTGATGGAGTTTACTATAGCAAATAACAGTGGTGGGTGTTTAAAAAGTGCCTACTGGAAAAAGGGGGAAATGATTAATTTTCTAGGAAAAAGAATGATCTGTTACATAGAAAAGGAAGTGAAACTACTTCAGCTTTTCAAAGAGAGTGAAAATCTTTCAATATAAACCAACTTTTCCGCAGTTTTGTAAATATGGTTATGAATTCCAAATGTTTATAAATTGCATGGATGTGCATGCATTTCTCAAATTTCCACAGTTTCAAAACAAAAATTTATTTTAAGACTGAAGAGAGAAAAATTCTTCCTACCTCAATTGTAAGTTCCTTGGGGCAAGGTCTGTCATTCATTATATGTTTGTACAGCACCTAACACAATGGAGCTGAAGCTGGTTGCAGCCTGTAAGTGCTGCTGCAGTGTAAATGTTTAATAATAGTAAGAGCTGATTTACTCAAATAGGGAAGTGAAGGATTAAGGTTAATGTCAAATGTATTTAATATTTCCTGTATCCTGCTTCCACCACAACAAAATATATTCTAGAATTGCATGAACCATTATTTATTTTCAAATTCAATCAAACTTCACGGTCCTGTTATACCCAATAGTATACAGCAGGGATCGGCAACTTTTGGCACGTGGCCCATCAGGGAAATCTGCTGGCGGGCCGGGACAGTTTGTTTACCTGCAGTGTCCGCAGGTTAAGCCGATCGCAGCTCCCATTGGCCACGGTTCGCCGTTCCAGGCCAATGGGGGCTGCGGGAAGCGGCGGCCAGCACATCCCTCGGCCCACACCCTGACGGGCCGCATGCCAAAGGTTGCCGATCCCTGGTATACAGTATAGTGGTGACAGCCAATCTCCCACTAATTTCCAATTGAATTGCTATTGAGAGGTTTTGCTATAGTTACTGAGGTATGATTTGTACTTTTCAATTATGAATTTCCACAGTAACAACTTGGTATCTGGGGAGGACAAAGTAACTAAATTGAAGGTTACTATGGTGGCTTGGGATCGATATGATACCACTGTCATCACTGCGGTCAACAACTTCCTTTTGAAAGTATGGAACTCGACCACGGGACAGCTTCTTCATAGTTTATCTGTGAGTAAAAATCCAGTGTATATTTCAAAATTCTGTACTTCTGTGTCCAAAACAAGATTAAGGGCTGGAGTCTGCCATCCTTCCAGGCACTAAGTAATGTCTTTCTTCTGAAGTAGGTCAGCTGTATGCTTCTCCTGAGTCCTGATTTAAGGAGTGTGTATTATGGGGAGAGAGGAAATTAGCACGGTGCTGCTGCTCTCCAGCAATTGCTGGCTGACATAAGGGCCTCTTAGGGCCATAGCCAGCTTGTATTAAAGTAGCTCCAAGATCAGGGAGCTGCAACTGTCCTCTTTGTTGGCCTCCACTTTACCTTTGCCCAGCTGGGAATCTGGGCTATGAGATAGTGAATGATAGTAAACGGAGCTAAAAGTCCTCAGAACAGTGACTGAAGAGTGGTACAGTTCTAATCTGATATGCTTACATATCACTGACCTCAAAATAAATATTTAGTTGCACATTGAGCTGTTATATAGAAACATTACTTTCCTTTCCTACTTTGCTTTCATCACAGGGCCATGATGATGAAGTTTTTGTTTTGGAAGCACATCCATTTGACCAAAGGATCATGCTTTCTGCAGGTCATGATGGGAACATTTTTGTTTGGGACCTTGATAAAGGAACAAAAATTCGCAATTACTTTAACATGGTAAGAATTGTCAGGAAATATTTTCACATTTGTATGAAACTGGGCTTTAGGAAGGAAGGATTTTAAGAATTATTTTAAGAATAATACCAAGTCATTTGGTAATCTATCATGTTTACATCTCTGAAAATCAATGGAATGTTTTTGACCAACTTTTTCACAATGGAGCTTTAAGGGTGTTGGCATTAAGTTTTGACATTAAGGTTTAGGAAAGATGGGACACTAACTTAAAACTTAACTGAGAATTGTAAATGTTAAAAAATAGCTAAATGGGGAGGGGGGAATTAGTGAAATTCCATTTCATTGGTGTGAGATGGATCTTATATTAAATTGGGACCTATAAACAGAATGTGTGTGCAGTTATATAATGATATTTGAAGAATCTGAAGTACGGCTGATTAAATCGTCATATTGAAGCTAGTCTAGAAAATAAATGTTTTAAAATGGGTATGCTGTGTTTGTATGTTACAGATTGAAGGCCAGGGCCATGGTGCTGTTTTTGATTGCAAATTCTCGCCAGATGGACAGCATTTTGCCTGCACAGACTCACATGGGCATCTGCTATTATTTGGTTTTGGATGCAATAAATATTATGAAAAGGTGGGTTGACTGAATCTTAGACTTTTCTGCATTTTGGGCTGGTTTTGTTTGGGAAGTGTTGTTTATGGTACTTCTCTCATGATGAGCTCTAAATGGTACTTGAATTATGTGGCAGTCACTGATTCTCTAAATTAAAATCTGCATGTGTTTAAATATCCCACAGTAAATTTTCTTTTGTTAGTGGGAATAGAGAATGTTTGGAAACCTGGAGAGAATGTGACTGCACTACATGTTATTAACTCAACCTGGCAAGGAAAAGTGTCACTTTGCGAAAAAGCAATCCGAACACCAAAGAAGGTCTGTAGGCATCTTAAGGAAGAGAAAAGGGTTTTATTTGATCAAAATGTGTCACTGCAATTCTTTTAAATTTTACACAAGTTCTTTTCTCCAACATAGGTGGTCAGTTGGTGTCATGTTCTGCGAGATCCAATAAAATCCTTTCTTCCGTGTGCAAATTGAACAGAAAATTGACTAGATAATTATTGTTCAGTGATGCCTTTTTCTACATCAAAGAAACTGATGAGATTAACTCATATAATAAATGCTCCAGATTTCTTTTCTTATACCTCTGAAAATTAGGAAATAAAGAGGTGTAAGGTTCAGGCACTCCTGAAATTTAACCTTAACTCTGCCCTCTGGAGCTGGTAGTTGCTATTGGGAATAGTTCAGTAGGGTGGAGCCATAGGTAGACATGAAAAACAACACAAACAATGGCATATTCTTGTAGTCATGTTCCAAGTAGGTATTGTGGCATTTATCTGCATGCACTTTGGTTTCATTCACTTTGTTATGTACCTGTATTGAATGGAGCAGGGATCAATTGGAGCAGATTGGAAGAGCTGTCACTGTGATAGGAGGAAAGGTGCACGTGTACCTTGAGAGATCAAGTATGCCTGATTTCATTGCTGAGTTCTGTAGCTTGTATCGGTAGCAGCACACAGGACTCTTCTTGCCAGGGGGATTGTCAGCCGTTCGGTGGCATATGTGATTTTGGTCTCCACAGCTTAGAGAGGGATACATGAAGGCAATGTCTCAGATGTAATCCTCAGGGCAAGGGTAAAGTAGTCTGGGGTGGACTGTGCGGAGTTAGGCTCAGTGTTTGAGTGTAGGCCAGGTGTAGGTAACTCCTCTTTGCTAAACCCAGCCTAAACTCAAGTTTTGCCTAAGCAAAGAGAAGATGTTAGATTTTGTCCTAAAGTGCTTTTGTATCCATTTACGTGAAATAAATGGACCCAAAGAGACAAAGGTGTAAACATGGCCATGAAGCTGTCCAACATGAGACAGCATTAAACAGGGTTTGATACAGAGACCTCAGCCTGCTTAGTACCATATCATACGTGTAATTAAAAATCCTTTAAAACCTTTTATTAAAGATACAGAAAAGGGAACACAGAGCTTTTTATATGTGAAGTATTAGTAGGGCCATACCAAATTCAAGGTCCATTTTGGTCAATTTTGTGGTCATAGGATTCTTAAAATGGTAAATTTCATGATTTCAGCTATTTAAATCTGAAATTTCATGGTGGTGTAATTGTAGGGGGTCCTGACTGAAAAAGGAGTGTGTGGGGGGTGCAAGGTTATTGTAGGGGGTTGTGGTACTGCTACCCCTACTTCTGCACTGTTGCTGGCAGTGGCACTAACTTCAGAGCTGGGCAGCTGGAGAGTGGCGGCTGCGGTAGCCCAGCTCTGAAGGCAGAGCCGCTATCAGCACCAGCACAGAAATAAGGATGGCGCAGAAGTAAGGATGCCATGGTATGGTATTGCCACCCTTACTTGTGCACTGCTGCTGGCGGGGCGCTGCCTTCAGAGCTGGGTGCCTGGCCAACAGCTGCTGCTCTCCAGCTGCCCAGCTCTGAAGGCAGTGCAGAAGTAAGGGTGGCAATACTGTGACCAACTTCCCTGTAAGCCGCACGGCTGCACAGCAGCCTATTTAGCGCTGCGCAGGTGCTCAGGGAACCTGCCTAGAGACCTGCTGCAGTCGGGGAGGAGGCACCTCCCCCGCCCCAACCTAGCCTGGCTGCGGCGCCCCTCCACCAGCCCCAACTCTGCTGTGGCCCAGACCTGCTGTGGCCGGGGTGCCCTTACCGCGGCCCGAACCCAGCTGGGGCAGCCCGGACCCGCCATGGCCAGGGCACCCCTCCCCCGCCCCGATTCTGCCACAGACCGAACCTGCCATGGCCAATTCTGGCGCAGCCCAGAGCGCCCCTAGCCTGGCCCAGACCTGCCACGGCGCCCCTCCCCTGGTCCATACCCAGCCCCGGCTAGGACCTACTGGGGGAAGGGTGCCTATCCTGCAGCTCCAGCCCCAGAACTGCTGCGGCGGGGAGAGGTGCCTCTCCCCACCCCCCCCAGCACAGGTGCTGCTGCGGGGAGAGAGAGCTCTCTCCCTGCTGTAGCCCCGAAGCACCCTCCTGTACCCAAACCCCTCCATCCCCCGCCCTCACCCCAGAGCCTGCATGCCCAGCCGGAGCCCTCACCCCCTGCACCCCAACCCTCTGCCCCAGCCCTGAGCCCTGTCGCACACTCCAAACCCCTCGGCCCCACCCCCACCACATGAATTTTGTTATGTGCACCAATATTCAGGTGATGTGTCACACATCCCCTCCATATTGGTGAACATAACAATTCATTCCACACCTGGGTTGGAAAAATTAGAGGGAACACTGATCGTGGACACCCCCCCCCTCGCCCACACACACACACGCACACACACAATATCCTTGTGACACCTTTGCAACTCCCTTTTGGGTCAGGACCCCCAATTTGAGAAATGCTGTTCTCTTCTGTGAAATCTGTATAGGGTAAAAGCACACAAAAGACCAGATTTCATAGGAAGACCAGATGTCATGGTCCGTGATGTGTTTTTCCATGGCTGTGAATTTGGTAGGGCCCTAACTATTAGGTAAGGCTTTCATTTAATTATAACCCTTGTTCCCTTTCTCTTTAGCTGGAGAGAGTTTTAAGAAGGAAATTCCCTTGTCTTGACCGTTTTTTAGATGATATTAATGATGGTGATAACTGTCCTATTGGGGACAGAGAAGAATTTTTAGTTGAGACAGGCTGGAGGTCTCATTGTTTTTATTCTTAAAATCTAATCCCATTTCATAGAAGACAAAACAAGAAAAGCTCACACAAGAGGGGTGGGGTGGTGGGGAGAACAGCAAAGATTAGAAAATGCTTCTTCTGTCTCTTGTGTTGACTCTCATTTGTAACCTCACTGCTGAAGAAACATAAGCACAGTACATGTTACACA